TTTTAAGAAATAATTTATTAGTGTATAACATTATCATCTGATTTGTTATACGTTTTAAGAAATATTTTATTAGTGTATAACATTATCATCTGATTTGTTATACGTTTTTAAGAAAGATTTTATTAGTGTATAACATTATCATATGATTTGTTATACGTTTTAAGAAATATTTTATTAGTGTATAACATTATCATATATTTGTTATACGTTTTAAGAAAGATTTTATTAGTGTATAACATTATCATATGATTTGTTATACGTTTTTAAGAAAGATTTTATTAGTGTATAACATTATCATATGATTTGTTATACGTTTTTAAGAAAGATATTATTAGTGTATAACATTATCATATGATTTGTTATATGTTCTTAAGAAAGATATTATTAGTGTATAACATTATCATCTGATTTGTTATACGTTTTCTTACATTGTTAGCAGTATGACACAAAAAAGATCTGTGGTGAATCTAATTTAAAGTTTTTGAGTAACAGTTTTCCCCCTGAAGGACAAAATTTTATCGTCAACTGATGTGATATAAAAATATTAAATACCGGTTATAAAGTTCATTGTGTAAAAAAAGTTTTATTTTGATTGTATTTAATGCTGAAATTTCTGATATTAAGAACCCAATTTGAAAAAGATATGGTTGAGCCTTATTGTGTGGTATGTTATGTCATTATTTATGTTGAATACGAGAGTTACCATAATTTAAAAATAAACTCCTTGGTGTATGTGAAATAACTAAAGTAATCACAATGTTTTCAGGAACGATTGAGAAAACCCTTGAATTCCCTCTTGATGCTGCAGAGCTAGCACATCAAGCTAGTAAACTTCTTGAAGAACATGATTTTACAGAGGTTTTGAACAAGATACCTGATGAAGCTTTCACAGAGCTGTTTGCTGGTAAGTGTTTTCAGAGATATGAAACCTGTATGATAACTAATTTCACTTTATTCACATCATATATACTTATATGTGATACAGTTAATGATTCGTTTTTTAATTATAGCATTTCTCGGTAATATACAAAGTTTTACTGTAAGTGTAAATGACCTATAAAAGCACTGGAAGAACAAAATAAAAGTACCGTATTCTGGATGTTTATACTGTGTAGTTTTGATTGTATGAATATATACTTTCATAGCTTATGTTCTAAAGATTAACTCAAAAAAATGTTTGATATGTATTTAGGAAGTTTTAGGGGTTACACAAATGAAATAAGAAAATTTTCAGATCAAGAAGATTAATTTTAATCTCAACATGAAAATCGCTTTGTACTCGAAGCAGACAACACTCTCACTCACGGACAAAAATACTTAACCATAGTTCTTGTTACATCTAGCAGTCAATGGTAAAAACAGTTAACAGATTAGCTTTAGCCTCATCACAATATTCATTCTGAAGTCCAGAGATTATGTAGCAGCAATTAATATCTTATATGTTATTTTCTCTATCCTGGACATTGTAACAAGAAACTACATTTGTTTATCCTAAATAGCTTAAGGCTCATAACAGTTAACATCTGTTTCTTCTTAATATTGTTGTTTTATTGCTTTTTTGAACCTGTCTAACTAATAATGCTGTCATACAAGTTGTAAATCACTTGGCAAACAAGTAGATCAAAATATCATATTGAATGACATAATGCACAAGCTACTGGAGCGTACTGTGTGGATAATTATTAATTATATTGTGTAATCTAACCTAATAAGTATGTAATTTTATGTATGTTCCCCCAATATAAATCATTTGTGTGTCAGCTTATTGTTATATTAACATAATGTGCTTCCTTACTGTAGTTTCTATTGATTATAAATGACATAAAACACCAGAGAAAGAATTACTGGATGTGACAGGTGGAAATGGCAAGTGGGTCTCACTTTCTGGTTTGTCTCTGTAAACAAAGAAGATTGATGGCTGTCAAAAATAGACTTTGCATAAGTAATATCTGTATTATGATGAGTAATTTATGTTTAACTCTGTACTTCAGAGAGCAATGTTAAATAAATGAGAAGATGAAAAACGAATGTCACAATTCTCATACAAGGGAGATTAAAGATTTATTTAAATACTTCCTTTTAAAAGTAAGAAATTACATAATATTAGAATCTGATTTATTATTGATGCCAAGTTTATTCATATATGTTGATAATAAAGTAGTTTAATTAAATTACTTTTGATTTATTACTACATTTCATCAGCCTTAACTACCTTTCCACAGCAAATGATAGATTTAGATATGGGACATCGAATTATTTACCCATATTGTATGTGTCAGTGATGTATCATTGTCATTGTTATGAGCCATATTTTACAGAAACCTCTCATACTAGGATCCATTCCAACATCTTTACATTGTTTCTTGCCTATAATATGCTAAACCATGTGTCATACAACATCATTATTTCTTAGCTGTTATATAGTAAGGCTTGTGTAACACCATATCATTGTTTCTTAGCTATTATATAGCAAGACTTGTGTCACACCATATCATTGCAATATAGTTTACTAGCTGTTGTATAGTAAGGCTTGTGTAACACCATATCATTGTTTCTTAGCTATTATATAGTAAGACTTGTGTCAAACCATATCATTGCAATATAGTTTACTAGCTGTTATATAGTAAGACTTGTGTCACACTACAATATAGTTTACTAGCTGTTATATAGTAAGGCTTGTGTAACACCATATCATTGTTTCTTAGCTATTATATAGCAAGACTTGTGTCAAACCATATCATTGCAATATAGTTTACTAGCTGTTATATAGTAAGACTTGTGTCACATTACAGTATAGTTTACTAGCTATTATATAGTAAGGCTTGTGTAACACCATATCATTGTTTCTTAGCTATTATATAGTAAGTCTTTTGTCAAACCATATCATTGCAATATAGTTTACTAGCTGTTATATAGTAAGACTTGTGTCACATTACAGTATAGTTTACTAGCTATTATATAGTAAGGCTTGTGTAACACCATATCATTGTTTCTTAGCTATTATATAGTAAGTCTTTTGTCAAACCATATCATTGCAATATAGTTTACTAGCTGTTATATAGTAAGACTTGTGTCACATTACAGTATAGTTTACTAGCTATTATATAGTGAGGCTTGTGTAACACCATATCATTGTTTCTTAGCTATTATATAGTAAGTCTTTTGTCAAACCATATCATTGCAATATAGTTTACTAGCTGTTA